TGAGTAAGAGCAAGTGAATAAAAATTATATTATATTTTGTTAATAATACTAAGTTTGAGGGGGGAAAATCTTTTTATGAACTCGGTTAAATTTTTCACATTAATGTAAGAATCTTACATCTAGATAATGCACTAAGAACTCCGTCAATATATACATCACTTGATATAAATACATATCTAATTAAAAAAACGTTTCACTATCACAATCAAATTTAAGATTGTCAATACTTCAGTTTATGACAACTTCAGTCTTAAAATCGATCAATGAATCTAACGTTTTCCTCCTCCTTTTTTTTGCAGGTGACATTTTGTTAATTAAGCCTTTAAATTGAAAGTTACGGTACTGCCCTGCTGAAAGATACCAGACAAAAAAAAAAAAAACACAACATCTGCATGGTCGAATATGTCGTGCCACCGGGCACCTTTTTTCCCCATAATTATATAACAATTTAATTTAATGTTTTCTTCTATCACATTAATTTTGAAAAAGTAAATGACAATTACTTCAATAATTAGTAAAATGATTTTGTGATTCCAGTGTAAATAGTAAGATACGAGGGGTGAAAATGGGATCGTTCAAACTATCATGACTGCATAAATTAAAAAAAAAAATGATGCCAAATATATGACAGTTTAAAAACAAAAAAAACAAAAAAAATGATATATATCGGTGAGGTGATAAACAGTACACAAATATGACGGGTATGTAGCACCCGTCATATTTTAGTGTTAGTAAATATGATGGTTAAATCAAATTCCTGTCATATTTTATATCCCTCAAAACTAAAAAAATCAAAAGAAAGAAAAAATTACATCAGAATTAGTTATAACTATGGATCAATGCAGAACGAATTGTTATTAACATAAAAACATGACTTTTTTTTTTTTAAATGAGACTTATTATTGATCTTTATCTGTAATTAATTTTTTTTAGAAGTGATTCTTCAAAAAAAAAACAAAGAAAATTATATACAAGTTTCACTTAATATAATTAATTACTCACAAATTTATTGACAATTGAGCTTAGGAGATCCTAAGTTCAATTGAACTCATTATTAACAGACTTAAAAGTAATTAATTGTATTGAATATCATCTTAAAATAATTAAAAGGACCAAATATGACAGGTCTTCTAATTTGTTCATATTTAGGTGGAGCCCAAATGTGATGGGCAGGTAATAAAAACCCGCCGTATTTTGGATCCCCCAAGACTGCCGGTCTCCCAATGGGCATCTTAAATGATTGGGATTTTTAAATAAATAAGGGTTAATTTGGTTGTTAGAAAGAAATAAAATGAATAGATATATAATAAAATTGACAAAAATAGGATCATAAATTGACAAAGATGTGATAATTAATAATTATTAAGAAATGAGTCTCGTGGAGTGATAGTGAGAGACGAGGATTGACATGAAAAGCTATCATTCTCTGTTCTTGCTTCTCTATCACTCTTAATTTTCATCTCTTTAATTATCATTCATATATTTCTATTAATTAATTAGCCTACTTGCTAAAACAATTTTTAGCTTTTAGGAAAGTACTTTGAAGACTTTCCAAAAACTAAAAAGTTGGTTCGAAACCAAAATTCATTGGAAAGCCTATTCTAAAAGCACCCATCAAACTATACAATTGCTCATATTTTTCCTAGTTCTTGCATTTGAATTTGGTTGCAGGGCATTTAATGAGGGAATTAAATATGTAACTAACTTTTTATTTTACCAATGCTATGTTAATTTTTAATATTAATGTATTTATATAATTTTTTAACATATCAAACTTTTTTATTTTTTATTTTTATTATTAACATATCAAATTTTATGTTATTTAAATTTTTTATCACAAATATTTTTAAATATTTATAATATATTATATTTGTATAATAAAAATTACAAATTATAAAACCAATGTCTTTTTTAGTAACATTACATTTAAAAACACTTTACATTATATATAATTTAAATATTTTAAATTTATCAAACTAACTTTTGAAATATATAATATATATATATATTCAAAAACAAATTTTATTATGATAAAAGATTTTTATTAAATTGATTTTTTTAAATAAATCTTTTACAAATTGACTTTTGCTTAACGACAAATAATATAAAAACAGGCATATACAATAACATTATTTTAATCTATTTTATTTTCCATCAATCTATTTCTTTCTTTTTCTTTTCTTTTTTCTGACAACCAACCTGGCGCTAATGTCATAGCCAGCAGAGATATACAATTGGAAAAAAGAACCTGTGAATGGAAACACATTTGGAATGAACAATATTTAAAAGGTGAAAAGAAAGGAATAAAAAGAAAAGGTGGTAGAACGAACACGTATGTATATATAGCAGAGTGGGTAGGTTGGTTTGAAGAGGAAGGCCTGTGGTGGAAATTGGAATTGCATTTCACAATCCCATAATTAATACTCCAACTATATGCTTCTTTTCTCATTCATAACCCTTTGTTTTATCCTGCTTGAAGGACCCAGAAAATTTAGTTTATGGTGCCAATATTGTTTTTGCATGAAAACTATTGCATATTCCTATATCTGGCAATAATTTTTTTAGTTTTTACCATTTTAATAAAACAAACCACTTTTAACTATCATATTATTGTATTGATCATTGTGAAGTAGTTGAAAATTTCTTATATTTTGGACAGAAATGATTAATACTGAATAAGAATCAATCATAGTAAATGATTGTAAAATCATGTGCGTAAATCATCCATGGAAACATTACAGATTTCCAATTAACGAGACACATGCAAAAAGAGAATGTTTGAAATGGAAACATTTCAATCAATAATATCTTGAGGTGATTGAATGAACATGCAACACACTCTTGGTTAGTTTGAAGCAATGTCTTCCCAGCAGCCGAACTAGCGTCATAGAATTGGATGAGACGCTTGCAGTTTAATGGTTGATCCCAGTTTTAAATTAAATTAATAATCATTTTAATTTGTCCATTAAGTCTAATCATCATTGAAACAATATGATGTGAGACTGCCCGTTCTCTTCACCCATTGATGGCCTGACCATTCAATCCGATCCGGATTTCACAACACGAGGAAGGCGTCTCGCGGAAATAGGGACAGATCCATAAACAATTGTGTGGGAGGTAAACGTGCAAAATTACATAATAGTAAAGGACCAAAATTAATTTTGGCATTTTTTTATAAGTAAAAACAAAGTATTTTCTTAAAAAAAAATTTGAGTGCTCCCTCCTTTCCGTTCCTGTGTGGAATTACATCTCACAATCTCATAATTATATTAGAGTAAAATACTCTAATTTCCCTTTTATTTTATTTTAATGACATATACTTCTTTTTTATTTTTAATATACAAACTTCCCCCTAACGTGAATAGTTATAGAACACAAACATCTTCTCTATTCTTAATATTTCATTTCTATCCAATCAACCATTAGTTAATTATTAGGTCATATATATTGAACTAAAATACCCCTTTTTAAATATAAATGCTATTTGTAAAATCATTTAAATTACCCAAAAATTTATGCATATATATTTTTAACATTTTTATTTTTATTTTAGACCTTTAGTTATGAAAATGTATTTATTTAGTGATTTTTAAAAAATTCAAAAATGCAGTTAAAAATTAATGAAATGAAATTTTTAATTATCTATTTAATATTGACATACTTAACTATTTAAAGTTTTTTTTTTAATTGGAAGAGAGCAGAGTATACATTTAGATAATAATCGCAAATTAATAATTTTAATTTTTAAACATAATTATAAATAAAAAAATTAAGTAATTTATAATCTTTAATGGGATATTTTTAACAGTATTAAAAATTGAACTAAAGTATATATTTTGAAAACAGAAAGGAGGTATTTATAATTTTAGTGAAATGAAAGAATGTCACTGTATTTTATTCTAATTATTATTCTAATTCCAACTATATGCTTCCCCCTCTCATTCATAACCCCCTTGCTTCTACTTCCTGTACCTGGGACCCTTTCGCATTCAATTCCTTCCAACATTTATAAGGTTGTAAGTTGGTCCCATTGGTCTAATTATTTCATTTTTCTATTTATATATAATTTTTTTTTGAAAAATTCGGTGATAAATTGACGATGGGGTTTGAATCTTTTTCCCCGATGAGTTTGATTTTTGTAGGGATATAAATTAGGGAATCACTGTTTTTCCCATCGACTTGGCTATTTTACCTTAAATTAGGAAATTAACATTTGCCAATAATTTATGAATTTAACAAAAAAATTGAAAAATAAAATAAGCAAATAATAATAACAGTGATAATGACTTGACTTTGGGTTGCGACACATGTTTATAAATAGCGGTTGTCTATAATATTCAAACCATTCCTCAGTTTCTCTCATATTGATTTCCTCTCTTCGTCTCTTCCACATCATTTGCTGTTAGTTTTGATTCTTTTCCTGCAACACAGAGCTCCTCCAAGTAAGTATATATATAATTTCTTTCCCTTTTTTTTGAGGTTTTGATATACTTAACGTTCTAGAGTTTTTCTTTGTTTCTTCCCTTATTTCAGATTCTTTTCAGTTCTCTGTTTCTTTGCCATGTAGTTGATTTAGTAATGCTCTCTGTTTCAGAGCTCTCTAAATTACACACCTTTTTCAGTTCTCTATAATGCTTCTTTATTTTTTTTTTATTCTTATCATATTTTATTACTTTAGTAGATATAGTTATATCATAATAAGATATGTCAAATGTGTATGTAGATGCTGTTGTATGATTGAAGTAATCTAAGATTTAACTACTAGTTATCTCATTCCCTTCTATTGATTCAATATTTGAGAACAATGTTATATCTCTCACTGCTCTAACCGCCATATCACATTAATAGCAACATTATTTTTAAAATCAAGCATATTTAAATTTCTTTATAATTGAGCGAGACATCTGAGTATTATTATTAAAAATTATATCAAATTAGATTAAATTACAAGGGAATTAAATTAAAATTATTAATTAATATTAATTTAGGTTTTCTTGAATTTTTGTAAAGTTTTGCTTTCTTAATATATTTTATTTTATCATTTTTTTATAAAATATAATTTTTTTCTCTTTTTAAAAAATTCAAACTTTATGAAATCTAGGATTATCAATCTAGTCCTTTCCCCATAAGAAGCCCTCCCCAAAGTACAATGTAAGCTCTCTAGAGAACCCCAATTTCCCTAATCTGCTCTTATACATAATCGTATACAAATACTCATTTTTGTCACAAGTTAATTTTCTTTGTGATTACTTGAATTTTTGCAGACATGGCTGCAACGTACGAGCCAAAGAACATTCTGATCACCGGAGCAGCAGGCTTCATTGCATCCCATGTTTGCAACCGCCTCATTCGGAACCACCCAGACTACAACATCGTCGTCCTCGACAAGCTTGATTACTGCTCCAACCTCAAGAACCTTCTTCCTTCTCGTTCCTCTCCCAACTTCAAGTTCATCAAAGGAGACATCGGCAGTGCCGACATCGTCAACTTCATCCTCCTCTCTGAGTCAATCGACACCATCATGCACTTCGCAGCTCAGACCCATGTCGATAACTCCTTCGGCAACAGCTTCGAGTTCACCAAGAACAACGTCTATGGCACTCACGTTCTTCTCGAGGCCTGCAAGAAAGCCACCCCTCAGATCAAAAGGTTCATCCACGTCAGCACAGATGAGGTGTACGGCGAGACAGATGAAAACGCAGTGGTCGGAAACCATGAGGCTTCTCAGCTTCTTCCTACGAATCCTTATTCTGCAACAAAAGCTGCAGCGGAAATGCTTGTCATGGCATATGGTAGATCCTATGGTCTTCCTATTATTACCACGAGGGGGAACAACGTGTATGGGCCTAACCAGTTTCCTGAGAAGTTGATTCCAAAATTCATGCTTTTGGCCATGAAAGGAGAGATCCTTCCAATTCATGGTGATGGATCCAACGTTAGAAGCTATCTCTACTGTGAAGATGTTGCTGAGGCGTTTGAGGTTGTTCTGCACAGAGGTGAAGTAGGACACGTGTACAACATAGGGACCAAGAAGGAGAGGAGAGTGATTGATGTTGCTAGAGATATCTGCAAGCTTTTCTCTTTGGACCCAGAAACGCACATCAGGTTTGTCGAAAACAGGCCTTTCAATGACCAGAGGTATTACTTGGACGATCAAAAGTTGAAGAGTTTGGGATGGTTTGAACGTACAAGTTGGGAAGAAGGGCTCACAAGAACCATGGAATGGTACGTTAAGAACCCCAATTGGTGGGGTGATGTTTCTGGAGCATTGCTTCCTCATCCAAGAATGCTCACCATGCCTGGTAGTGTTGAGAGCAAGAAGTTAGATAACATTGCTTCATCTTTTGTTACAGTGAAGAACAATAATTCGTCATCATCAGAGAATAGTAATAATGCAGACCTGAAGTTTCTGATATATGGTGGATCTGGGTGGATTGGTGGGCTTTTGGGGAAGATTTGTGAGAAGGAAGGGATAGCGTTTGAGTTTGGAAGGGGGAATTTAGAGGAGAGATCACAAGTTATTATGGATATTCAGAGGATTAAGCCGACTCATGTTTTTCATGCTTGTGGTGTTGCTGGGGCGATAAATGTGAAATGGTTTGAAGCTCATAAACCAGAGACAACTCGCAACAATGTTGTTGGCGTGTTAACGTTGGCAGATGTGTGCAAAGAACATGGCCTCTTGTTGATCAATTATGTCATTGGCAGTAACTTTGAAGACAATACCAATATTCCTGATTCTTTCTATGCAAAAACCGAATCCATGGTACGATTTGTTTCTAAATCCTTTACATTTTGCTTCATCTTTTACATTATAACAAGTTTCACGAATATGATCATCTTCTATAATTTTTTTCTGGAATGAGTTATTTTATCTTCAAGTCGATCTAGGACCACGTAGGCTGCACAGAAAAAATGCCAGAGAGAGAGGTCTTGTAGGTACAGAGAAAAGGCCAGAGAGAGAGGTTTTGGTGGGCTCCATGAGATGTGGGGCTCACCAAAACTCATTTCTCATTTTCTCTCCAATGATAAAGAAATTAACGGCCGTATTTTATTACATTCTTAAGGTCCTCCGCTGCTTTCCCCCCACCAGGTGAAAGAGACAGATATAAAGGTTGGAACCATGCATTTATCATAATATTAATCCAATCAATCGATCCAGTTAAACTAGTAAACTATTGAACAAGTATCTTAATCAATTCAATAAAATGCTTTGCTCATCATTGATTTGACTATGATTTAATTATAGTTTTGATCACTAATTCTTGAATTAGTGTTTTGATTGATCTAATTTTCAATTCCTTGATATTCATCTGAGCCTTTGAAAGTTAAAATTCGAATAAAACTTTTACCACTTGTGTATCTTCTACTAAGTATTATAGTTTACTTATTTTATCATAGGATTTTTTTTTTTCTCATTTGTAATTTATGAATTTGTTGTGGTCTTATATCATCATAGGAGAGACATGATGCCATATCCAAGCTATGAATCTTTTGATCATCATAATCTCTAAATAACAGTTTTGAATATGGTATTATATCTAATACAGGTTGAAGAGCTATTGAAGGACTATGAGAATGTGTGCACTCTGAAACTGAGATTACCAGTATCATCAGATCTAGAGAACCCACACAACTTCATCACCAAGATTGCGAGATCAGCGAAAGTTGCAAACATTGCAAACAACATCACAGTGTTGGACGAGCTTCTTCCAATCTCCATTGAAATGGCCAAGAGAAACTGTAAGGGTTTGTGGAACTTGTCGAATCCTGGCATGGTGACACTGAATGAGATTCTGGAGATGTACAAGGAGCATGTTGATCCTCACTTCAAGTGGCTTAATTTCACACCACAAGAACAAGCCAAGGCTCATTTTCCTTCATCTCAAAGCACCACAGAGATCGATGTTTCTAAGTTGACAATGGAGTTTCCTCAAGTTTTGCCTATCAAAGAATCATTGGTTAAGTATGTTTTTCAACCCAAAGGATCAAAACCTGCTCACTGATGATGAGTATTTTGCAGATCATATAAATATATATGCTCTCTATGGATTGATCAATCACATTTATATATGCTTTTTAATTGTTCTGGCTTTTAATTTGTTTTGAATTCCTTTTTTCCAGAATTTCATTGTAAGTATTGTAATGTCTTGTGTGGTTTTATCAACATAATACAAAATGGCAGATCTGAATAATCTCAGAGAATCCAATTTTTGCTATATATATATATATATATATTAGTAAAATTGCTTTTATATATGCTCAGTTTTTATTTATATTTCGTGTGAGGCTTGATTTAATGACTGAGAAAATATTATTTTTGTTAGGAAAAATAACTTTTGTCCCTATACTTTACTCGAGTTTTATTATTAGTCCTTGCACTTTTTTTAATATTTCATATCCCTATACTTTTCTTCATTTACAATGTTAGTTCCTATAATTTTAAAGGAACATTGATGTAGTACAAACGGTATTAAAATTGTTAACGATCCACTAACCCCTTTAAAATTGCACTAATATGTTAAAAGGGTGCTGAGTTGATAAGCAAAATAAAATAAAAACTACATCAAATAAACAAAAAGGTTGACATAGGGTTCAAAAAAATCTCAACTTAAATATCTATAAAATATTTAAGATATATTTTAATCTTGATTTTTAAACTTTAAGGCCCTCAATTCTATTTAAAAAAAATTAAGTCTTCTAACATTTTTTTTAGTATCTCAAAAATATATTTTACATTTATTATAATATAAAAATAACTAATTTTAAAGTAAAAAATTAATTTTTTAAGTTCAGTTTTATTCAAGCCAGCCTCAAATAAGCAATAAGCCTAACTTGCTCAAATTACTAGTTCTAGTTGGGTGGAAATCAACCAATTAGGTTGAGAGCTTTAGGTTCTCCCCTTACCTTTTTTTTTTAATCCTTCAAGCTTCAGCTTTAGACCAATCCAAATAAACCCAAAAAAAAAAATCTAAATAGCTAAGCATGTCTCTAACTTCTTTGGACTTATTTCGACCAGCTTGAATATCTAAATTGCTGAATTTTTTAAATTTTTTAAAAAATCAATTTTACTTTAAAATTAATTATTTTATATTATAAAAATATGAATTATACTTTTGAGATACTTGAAAAATGAAAAGACTAAATTTTGTTAAAAAAATATTTGTGGGCCTTAAAGTTTAAAAATCAATATTAAAATATATTTTAAATATTTTTGAGATATTTTATAGTTATTTTAAGTTGAGAGTTTTTTTAACCCTAGGTTAGCCTTTTTTTATCTGATGTAACTTTTCTTAATTTATTTTGCTTATTAAAAATTCTAACTCAACACTAATTTAATATATCAGCACAAACTTAATTATATTAGTGGATACTTCAACAATTTTAACTCAGTTAGTGCTATGTCAATGTTCCTCTGAAAGTTTAGGATCTTGGAACCAAAAAAAAAAGTGCAGTGATTTTAATAAAACTCAAGCAAAGTATAAAGATTAAAAGTAATGTTTTCCTTTTTTTGTTAACATATGCAAAAAAAAATACCAATTACTATAAATTTTCACATGTCACTTCTATTTTTTTCACTGTTTTCTCCTGTTTATTCAAAAACGTGCTGAGATAATAACACGTTCACTCTCCTTTTGTCTGGCCTCTCTCTCCCTTTCACCCTTTTTTTTTTTTTTGGACCTGCTACCGTTTTTACTTATCATCCAAACAAAAGCATGAAAATCTTATGTAACGTGTAACTTAACGAAAATTAGGTGATCAGTTTCAAGAATATAGAAAGCAAAGTGACAATAAAAAGACATAAAATTAGTGGAGTAGAGTAATTTGGATGGTGAGAACAGGTGAGATGCATTAAATAAATATCAAGGTTCAAGCCCTTGCGATATACCTTCCTCTCATCTTATTTGTATATAGAGAGAGAGAATACTTTTTTATTCTATGTATAAATTGCGTTATTAACATAATTTGTTTCTTTTTACTCCCATTAAATATTGGTAAGAGTATGTTATACATTTTTAAAGTAACTCTCCAGTCTTATATATAAGCTGCCATGTAGACAAATCTTGTGATTCTAAATATAAGTCACTTTGCAAAAATTTGCATGCCATTAATTGCTTTATTTAAAACATGCCCTTCTCAATTTTCAATGAGAAATATAGAATGTTTGTTTTTAAATTTATGGTATTTATTAGGAGTAAAATGAATAGAAAGTATTACAAAATTTCAATGATATTATTGACTAACTTTTCTAATTAATTTTTAGTTTGAGTTAGTTATGGATGATTTATAATAAAGATTAAAGAAAGTATATATATACATATATATATTTATTTAATAAGATTAAATTTTTAGAAAGAGTTAATGAGTTTTAATTTTTTTCAGTCTCAATAAAAAAATATAAAAATAAAAATAAAAGCCTCAAAACCGGCAATAAACATCTAAAAAATGTTTGGTAACTGAAGAAAACTCATGTGGTAACTTTGAGAGATGAGAAACATAATGATCATATGTGATGGACTAATTTTAAAATTTTACAATCATTTTCTTTAACATATTGTTATTCTTCTATTGAAAGCAATACTACTATTTAAAATATTATCAGACATTAAATGTGAATATTTTTTTAATAAGAATTTGAACTTTGCTCCACCACATTATAAGGAGTTAACCATTTTACTATATCAAATTCCCATTTGTTAATTTTACATCCACTTAAGAAGTCTTAGCACTAATATTTGGAAACTAAATAAATACAGGCATTTTAAACTTTGCCCTATTACTCAACCCTCCCCCCCTCCCAAAAAAAAAAACACTAGCATTTTCTATCTCTTACTTGGTCCGCCTCTAAAGTAGTGTTTGGTACAGTGGAGGGGAAGGAAGATTTTTTTAAATTTTTCCTCCCCTTCCCTCCAAAACCTCCTCCCTCTCAATTTAGAGGGATGTTTTCTTCCCCTTGAACCAAACAGGGCTTAAAAATAATTTAATTTAAATGTATTTTGTCTAAGTTTGGATATCAATGACTTATTTTAAGCTATTTTTTTTTATTATTTTAATAATTGATATTTTTTAAAATATGTTTTGAGAGCAAAAATAATAAAAACAAGTGTTTCTCATATTATTTCTTATTTTCCAGAATAATAATCTTAAAATACTTAAAAGATATTTTCATTTTTCTATTCTTTTCAAAACAATATTTAATTTTTTATTTTTTAAAACACTTTCTAAAAATACATTACCAAACAATTTTTTTATTTTTATGTTTGAAAAACAGAAAAGTGTTTCAAATAGGTTGCTAAACAAGCCCTAAATTTTTTTCCTTTTAGAAAGCCGACAAAAGCATATGGAAACAAACATAACCATGTGAAATGTTGCTAAAAATAGCCACACCAACCATTTATCACAAGAAAGAAACCTCTTTATAATTTAGAAAAAAACGTTGGGAGGTTACTTTCATGTTAAATTTAGAAATTGTTGCTATAACTTCTGGGCTTTAATCTGGAATTGAAATCCTGAGCGAGTTCAGTTTTTTCCCCCCACATATATGTACATTTTAATGATATCAAATTAAACAAAATTAAATATACGAAAAAATATGATCTTGAAATAATTTAGATAATAAATTACTTTGCACAGAGTCGAATATACCATCTTTCCTAAGTAATGAAATTTAAGACTGGGATTCAGGACTTCAGTGACCAATCTAGCCGACACCAAATAGTAACATAACATACCTTTCGTCTTGCGACACCCCCAAGTAAGAAGGGACCAATTGGCCCTCATGGGCGCTAGCTTCACGTTATTATCTTCATTTTGGGGCCACAATATGTCCTGATCCATATATAGTGGGCCGATAGTAGGCCCACTTCAAATGGGGCTTGTTCCCTTGGTTAAAATTTTACAATTTATAATTTCAAGCTAGCAATATTTATATTTAAAAAATTATAAATTGACATGATATCCTAATGAAATATTATTTTAAAAATATGTAAATTTTATATTTACAAAAATTAAAATATTTTGGAATTTAATATTTTAAAATATTCCAAATATTGTAAGTTAGACCTTCCCTATTGATATATCTATGCATTCAAATAGAAGAACACAAGAGAGTGAGAACATGCGTCTTCTTTTTCTCTCCCAATTTCTCATTCTAAGTTATATGATAGCGTAGGTAGTTTTTACACTTTTGATTAGCCCCCATCTTATTGTAGAGAGATGGTGGATAATGAGAAGAAACTATCATCTATGTTGAACTACATTTTGTAATCTCTTTTAATTTTTTTTTTTTTACCATTGTAACTTCTTAAATTGATGTACCTCTTTTCACTCAAAAATATATATATATATACATACTTGACATATTCTCTTTTCTTAGATGCACAAGATATCAACCAAAATATATTTAGTTTAATATTTTTTAGATGTATTTTTTTTTTTTGGAATTATTTTTAGAAGAGCGGTTGACATCCTAAAAAATCTGTAAAGTAATGTAAAACTCTTTATTTAATACTTCATTTTAAAAGAATATTAAAGAGAAAGAGAATAAAATGGGAATGATAATATTAAAAAAATATCATTTATGAATCCTTATTTTTATTAAATCATCTTATATTTTGAAATATCAAATTTTTTTCCAAAAGTATTTTATAAATTAGAAAAGAGAGTAATACGTTAAATTTCAAAAAACAATGCAATATTATCTAATTGTAACATCAGCACAATTGATTATTTGGGAAAATCGGGAGACCTTTTTTTTGGCCTCAATGTTTCTTCAAAGTTAGTTGAGCAAGAATATTTGAAATCATAAATTTTTAACAAAAACCACCCTGCACCTGAGACTTAACTTGCCAACAAAACATTTATTTATTAAAAACATAAACTCTCAACAAAACCTAGCTATCAATGTTAAGTCTCTATTAATTAGATCAGATAACATTGAACTAGCCAATAATCTTATAGCCTACATGTGAACTCTCCTTACATGGGTGGTCACGGATGCGATTCTGCTTGTAATCTGCCATTAGTCGTACCTACTCCTTTAATTCAAAAAGAACATTGAACTGGTTTTAAAGATCATACACTACAATATTGGTTTAGTGTTAACCACTGTTCCAAGAATACTTCTCGAATTATCACTTTAACCTTATTCTAAATCATAATAATGCAGGAGACTCCGTGCATCCATCTCACAAAA